TTGGGCACATCTCTGTTATGCACTGCAGGCAAGTACTGGGCATGCACTGGCTCCTGAATGTACCTGACACCTGCTTCAGTATTGGTCAAGTCTGGTCTTGAAAAAACAGCTCACACTCAAATTGCCATCACAACAACACACTGGCAGGTTGTTCCAGATTTTATAATTCTCACTCTGAAAAAGTTGCCCTTGCAGTTTCTGGACTTGTGGCTTCTTCAACTTTGAGCTCTGACCTCTAGTGGGGTGGATGTCCTCCAGGTATGGTAACTCAACTGAGTAGTGGCCTCGGAGATATTTATAAACTTCAATTAAGTAGCCCCTTGCCCATCTATAGTGTAAGCTAGGCAGTATATTCCTAAGTTTTGTTTTTAACCTTTAACTGACAACTTATATCCTCCCCCCTCCGCATATATTGCAAAAATGTAGCAAGAAACATCACTGATGGCGCCACTTGATGGCTAACAGATATAATGTATGTATAACTTAAAATACTGTGAACTATAGTCTTCAAAACTTTGCACAAAACTCCTCATAAAATCAACCATTTCGACAATGAAACTATTGGTAAACAAATAATTTATTCAATCACATTTATAAGAAAATGTCCTTATAAAACCCAAAATATTACATTTATAATAAACTATATATTTTGGTATATACATAACACTAATAGGACTAATTTCATTTAAATCTCTTTATTCAAACCTTAAATGACAAAGCCCATTACTGTTAAAGTCATGTACAAGCTGAGATCAGAAGCTAATCTTAGACAGTACTATATTAATACTGGCTACATTAACATATCATTAAACCAACTTTTATCACTAAGTTATTAATTTTGGGAATAATCCTTAGGTACTACATATATCCTACTGAAAGACACAATAAGTAATAATAATTGTACAAGGAAAATATATCCAGCTTTATACTTCTTTTTGTACTTGTTCATCATTGAATATTTTCCTCAAGTGTAGATTACTCGAGAATTGTCTTATACTGTATTTGTACCTTCAGGCCTAGTCACACTCAAGGTACCGTACTTAAGGTCTTTGTTCACATCAGAATCAGAGTAATTTAAGTACATCTTCTATAACAAATATCAAAAATAAAACTTTGATAAGAGCTATTCATAAATTAAATTATAAAACTATATTATTTTTGAACCTATCCTAATACATGTTCATAACTATTAATTGTATTTAAATGACAATTACTACTGGTCTATATAGTTTCTCACATTTAGTTCACATAAATTACTGTAGGTATATGACTGTCCTGCTCAGTTTGTCTGTCTCACACAAGTCTTGCTGAACCTTATGCATTCCTGCTCCACACACTGTGGTTATATACTTATCGTGGACAAGAGTTCGCTCCCTGTAGTGAAACTGAGACAAGGGAATGAGTCTCGAACTGACTTACCTGATTGTTTTCTGGTCGGTGTGCTGTGCTGGTCGAACTGCTTCAGTTTGGGAAGGAGCGAACTTTTGTCCACGATAGTACATTACTAAAAAATATTATGATGAGTAATCATGAAAGCTACTTAATGTTAAATTATAATATACATTTATCTTTGGAGAGGTCATTACAATATACTACGACTGAAGAATTAGACAAGATATGAGCAATACCCAACACTAGTAACCACATGTACTTCAATTGTACTAACAAATTTGTATTTCATAGTTTAAAATTTAACAGTGAACTCTAAAAATATTGTCATCTCATTAGAGTAGTGCATTGCTATGTACATCTATATATATCAACACTAAGATCACTCATACAACAGTAAAAAAGATATAAGCAATTCAGTACAATATGTAACAAGTTATGGTTCCTATAAATATATTTTTAACTTACATCCTTGTCAGAAGATAAAACACTTGACCTCACATAAGTACACAAGTTCTTACTCTCTTGTTAAACTTTGTTTTTATGTTACGGTACTGTACTAAATACAATTAAAAACAAGAATGACCAATAATTCACAATTTGTGCCAAAACAGAGGCAGGGCAAAAACTTTTCTGATTCAATCATGCTTATCTTACAGTACTGCTCTGCATTACCTTATTACAGTAAATATTATCTCTGTTGTACAGTACAGAAAAGCTACACGTGAATGGAACCTCCAGATTTTCAATTTTAAAGAATATGCCTTTTTATTTATAGGTGTTTAGAAGTCACTGTTAAAGTGAGTTGTTGATAGGAACGGCACCAGCCATGAACTTGCTTCAAATTTGCCTGACAACAACCAGGAGAGAGGCTGCAAGAAACTATGCAGCTTGGAGAGCTGCCACAAGGTAAACACAGCTAACCAATGTGAAAATAGCTATATGATGGTGGTGATGATAACTGTACAGTATATATTGTAATATGGAAATTTTCATCCCTGGCCTACAGAACCAATGAAGTATTGTCACAACTAATGTGTGTGTATATGCACAATGTTAAGTCTGTCTTCTTATTTGTTTGCTGAATTCCTCAAAGAAGACTAATAACCTCAGATAAACCATATCTACATTTAGCTGTCAGTCAGCTCTATGAATACCACCTGAATGACCAACACAAACTTTCAGCTGACCACTTATTTTATTTTCTGCATTATGTTTCCGTGAACAAAGACTCATGGAAATGTACATCCATCAACAGGTGAACCTGACTTAGCAGACAAATTTAAAGTTGTTATACAAAATAAGATGTTTAGCTGAAAAAAAAATTAATCATAACACAATCAAGACAAATTCAGAATACAGTACAGGTAATACATCCATACCCAACCAAGTGATTGATCCAATCTTGAGAGGAAAGTTGACAGACAACAAGCTGACTCAATGAGCCATGTTATAAACAGTACAGTATTAAGAATTAGTTTATAAGTTGTGTGTTGTAACAGTCGCGGTGATCACATTCCCCAATCCAACATAACCATTCACATATTTTCCCCAAGTTTTCTCCACATAACAGCAACATCCATTAATAATATTCATGATTATTTGATGCAAATCTGATATTAACTATAGAAACAGGCAGATTTAATGTCAAAATATTATGCTCCTTATAAGACTCCAACAATTATAAGGAAAATCATAATCTTCAATGTGTAAGAGGAAACAAGATAAGTATTATGATATAATTGTTCCTCAATACATCATAACACATACAGTACAGTACTCTTCTTGTATTGGTCACCAGGCAACTTCTGAGTCTGTCTCACTCCTGAATCAGTGATATACTGTACCCTTTTATCTTAAGTCTGTTATTATAATGTTTATAACAAAGGACATCTCTCAACAATAGGGCACCATGCATTCATATTAATACCCGGTAGTTTAAATAATAATGAGAAATTTCCATAAAAATTACCACAGAGCCCTAATCAACTCTCTGAGCAGTGAGTGATACATCTCCTGATCTGCCAACGAGACAAGAGCTTGGGAATTACAGGTGTTAAAAATATACCTTATTAAAGTTGTAGAACACTTACCATTCAAAAAACAATACAGGTAATTAGAAAATAAAAACAATCAGTACCTAGTGTTTGTTCAATACTAGAAATTTTCCCAGGGTGAGGTGAGTGCCCTTCCTCTTGACACCTGATACAAACTGAGTCCCATGGTAACAACCGGAGATTTTTCCAAGGTCAAGATGTTAGTGACAAACTATTGGCATCTACAGAAGCCACAGAAGATGACACTTTCTTTGAAGTGCTGTTGGAATGATTGAAAGGTAATTATACATCTTTATTATGTTTTGTACACAAGGCTAAGAAAATATTATTACATATTTACAGCTCAATGAGTTAAAACAACATCACTGTACTCATGCAAAATTAAACATCTGAATTGAATTTCAAGGATAATCAGGCAGTAAATTTATCTTGAATAACACTGAAAATAAATCATTATATTCACCAGGCCTTGTTCACTGACTTTGGTATACAGTGTGTTTTAAGTTACATAGGTATAATACAGTATTAATAGTATTACTACATACCATAGGTATTTGAGATGTATACTGTATTTGAAAGGCAGACAAGTGGCACATGTTGAATTGTAAAGGTATGCATTAACCCTTAAATGGCAGCCATCATCCATGTTCCTTGCATTCTATTTTTAAGTATATGTAGAGAAGAGAAGTAGAGAATCATAAGCTGCGGTTAAAGGTTAACAAATGTGGTGGAATTCTGCTGGATGACAAGGCTTAGCATACACTGATGAATGAGGAGTGAATTGACCGATTATTACATTTTTGAAGAGGATTCAGCAACTAGGCTATATCACCCTCATGAAATGAGAGTGAAAAATGATTATACAATACAGTACCACTGACGGAGTGTAACAGCAGCAGAGATGGGGAGCTACTGTACTGTGAGAAAGAAATGGAATGGAATGTATGAGAACAGAATAAAGAGTAATGGTCTATGTACAGTAACTGATGTGAAGAGAAGAGCCAGAAAGTGTGAACAAAGTGTAAAGACACAATGGGGGATGACAAGACCAAGATATACAGTATACAAGTACTGTACTGTGCAAAGATAGGAAGTCTTGCATGACACACCACCCATACCACACCACCTCACTCTGACACATTATTGGATATAGTAATAGATAATTATTAGGACAGGTCAACATAACTAGATAATTATAATTACTGTATTAATAAGGCCCTGGATATGATGGGTAAGCCAGGAGTAGGCTGCTCTTGGTGATGGCTTCTGTGGACAAGTTGATGGGAGAATCGGGTGGCCCAGATGAAGTGAGAACCTGACAACTGCAATGGTGGAGGAGGATGGGATGCTGTGGGTGATGGTGATGAGGCCGGCACAGTGATGGGGAGCGAGGAGACTACCGAGGCGTTTCTAATACTTTGGTTTGCACCGAGAGTCTTGAAGTTGTTACAGCGCAATAGTCGATGACGATGTTGAGAAGGCATGATAAGAAGTGTGGTGAGTAGACATTGATGAAGAGGAAGGGTTACTGATAGTGGTTCCTCCTGTGCTGACCCTCCCAACTTTGGTGACTGAAGCACAGAAGGAAGATCATCATCAAATTCATCTTCTTCTAAGACTTTGCTGTGAGCCTTCAGGAGATGGGTGCTGAGGTTACAACTCCTTGAAATCCCTTGGAGCAAAAGTGGCAGACGATTTTTCTCCCTCTCCACAGCTTCTACCTTCTTCTTGCCCTCAGGAAGTTTACCGTGGATTTTCCTCATGTGCTTTCTCAAGATATCTTTGCTTGTTAGAGACTTATCACATATGTCACACTTGAGCATCCTTCACCATCATCTTTTGAGCCACTCCTGAACTGTTTTTGGCATGAAGTTTCATATGACTCTCTAATCTCTGTTTTGGAGGAGGAATTTATAACAGACTTTCATTGTTCCTTTGTTTTGTGGACTTTTTCATGTTTATCCAGAACATTTTTTCGTGAAGGATGCAGGACAAAGAACATTTATAATCACAATTTAACTTATGTGATTTTCTATGAGTAGCAAAACGGTCCTTCAGAAAACTTTTTTCCACATATTTCGTCGTATGTTTCATTGTTATGAGCGGCAAGATGTCTTTTCAAGACATCTTTTCTAAAATAATTTACCACACACTTGACACTTGCTCTTTTTATTCTTATGAACTTGTTCCATGTGGTTGTCCAAGAAGTCTCCCTAACAAATGTTTTCTCACACAGTTCACACTTAAATGGTTTATCACCCAAATGTTTCTTCCTGTGAGTCTCTAAATTAAACATTGAGGAACAAAGGAAGCCACATGTCTCACACTTGTATTTCTTCCCACCATGAACCTTGAGGTGAGCCTGAAGGTATTCTTTTGTACTGAAAGATTTGGGACACTTGGAGCACTTGTGTTCTTTTTCTGGTGTTCTTGACTGTGGCTTAACATGTGCCTGCGTAACTTGGCCTCCGGCTATAATTTGCATTACACAATCTACAGGAAGCGCCTTGTTCTCACGTGTGTCTTGAGGTGTTGTGTAGTGTTTCCCTTTGGCAAATGTCTTGGTGCAAAATGAACCGAAATAATGCCATTCCTCTAGCCCATGTTCCTTCATGTGTATTTTATAATTCCTAATATCCTTCCAAAATCTTTAGGACACAAGCGACAGGAGAGATCCAGTCCCTTAGTGAGCATGTGGGCAGCTAACCGTGAAGTCTGGTCTGGCTCTCTGGTCTTCTTGGTCAATGTGTGGTTTGTGGAATTTCAGTAAACTCACAAGATGTCTTTTGACCATCACCATGCTTCATTTTGTTATCAGTTACTATTAAGTCCCTTTCTGGTAGGTTGTGTTTAATCCAGTCTTCTATACTGGCATCAGGTCTTGTCTGCATGTGTTCAGCAGATTCATTCTTCACATTCACACCATCCATTCGCTCTAAATTATAATTTTCACGTGCAAGTTTTCCAGGGATTGGCACAAACAATCTTCCATGACTATTTTCAGGCGTGTCAGTTTTGTAATCCGCATCTGGATGACACTTGGCTTCCTCTGAGCTCTACTTTTTCTTTTCTTTGCACCAATTTCAGTTTTCTGGGAGCTACCTCTGTTCTCTGTAACGAGAATTAAAGCTTGTGGACACAGAGTGTAAGGTGTTAAACAAGGAACCTCAGCAGGTTTCTCAGGTATAGTGTCCATACTGGTAGATGCATGGCAAGAATATTCCCCACCGGTTGAAAAAAGTCAGCGGGTATTGCAAGGTATGTTGTTTGTTTCGACCTGCAATATCTCGATATTGGGTTGACTATGAATTGATCCACCCCATCTGATTATTTACATTGAAATTATTCAACCCATTCCCAATGTGGTAGGTGTTAGCCAAAAAACTTGGGTATTTTGCATCACTCCTTTTCTTTCACTAGGAGCCGTTGGTAACATTGTGTTCGTGGATGACGGGTCAGTGTGAGTTAAACCAAACACTGGGTGCTTACTGAGCACATTGTTGCTTGTGCCACATTCCCTGTTACCATGCCAGGTATATTAGTATTCATGCCTGTATGACTGCTTGTGATGGGCATTGCTGGGAGAGGCAACTGTCCAAATGATGAGTTCAAACATGAATTGTGGTTAACAGGATGGTTGAACTCATGAGGTTAAGTAGAACTCAATGGAGGCACCAGTCCAGCATCTGGACCTGGTGTATAATGTAGTGCATGACCGGCACCCATGTTCAGACCATCTCCACCTCCAGTAAGGTTCTCTGGCAGCTCTAAATCCATGGAGGTATTAAGATCATGATGCAGACCGGAAGAGTCAGAGTGTTGGAGTACAGTGTCTGTCATATCCTGACCATCTGGAGGGTCTAGTGCTTGCTCAGGAATTATATAATGGTCTATATCCATCTGTACAAACTCATCATTAACTTGAAATAATCCATTTAAAGAATGTTTATGGGTACATAACTGTGAACCTGCATTTACCTTCTCCCCACATAGCCAACATTCGCTCATTTTAAAGTATAGTTAGTGTTCAAGTTGATGTGCCTAAGTTGGAGCACAAGTTTCCACCATAACAAGTCATTCTTCCATAAACATCAGCTGACTCCAAGTCGTCTTGTGGGACAACACCACACCTTGAGTGTTGTTTCCTGCACCATCACCCATACCATTTATGTGGTCAAATAAAGAGGATTCCAATTCTTTATGACTTGGATCTGCTCAGATGACAAGTCAGGTCCTAAATCTTGACAAGCCAACTTAGCCAAAGACTCTGAGCAGTCTCACTATCTCCTTTAGGTAGAGAGTTGGTCAGCTCTGTCATCTGGCATATATCCCCAGCATGAAGATCATCAAACCTCTGTAAGATGAAGGATAAGCAGAGAGATGGTGAATATCATTGTAACCTCCGACTGAGCGTATTTCCAGTCGACTGAAGAGAACTCAATCCTCCATTTCCAAGTCCACCAGAGCTTAGACTGCCTCCAGGGCCCTTGCGAGCCCAGGACCATCCAGGGCGAGATCAACGTCAAATCCCATGGGCAGAGATCACTTCCTAGAGTTGAGTCTCAAAGCCCGGCACAGTGGCTGTTGTCCCCATGTTGAACCTGCAATATTGGTTTACTGTTATAACCTGATGACTACAATACAACATTGTCTGTTAATGGAAAACCACTAACACCAAACTTAAATTCTGGCAGGAACTTCCTCAGTGTTTGTTTTAATGTAATGAAACAAACCCTGAGGAAGAACAAGAAAAAATTTTTTTTTCTAGAATTTTGTTTTAGTGCCTGTATAATGAAGTTGGTATTATACGTCTATATGATTAGTCTGGAGGAATTGGCCATATTGATCTGTACAAATAGCCACAGCACTTTTATATTAAGTTTTAATGTTTTGCAGCTTTAAAAAACAACAATAAATGTCAAAATAAATTCTCAAACCCAACCTAAATTTATATAACAAAGACATATTCCAAGATCATTCGATTGTCGAGTAAGTTAAGTTGGGTTGGAGGGTTTGTTATGTCTGGTTTGAAAAACTCTGAAGTTAAGTGAAATTATTTATAATACAGTTCACATTCAATCTACAAACAGTGGGGTCCATATTCAAGTAGTGTACCAATGCACAATATTTAAAAACTTGTTAGTTCAGTGGCTCTCTTATTGTAGCATACTGCTAGGTTAGTTTGGGTGATACTATGTTAGTTATACTAGGTTAAGTTAAGCCTATATTGTTATGTAAGATAATTTGAATAAAATGACCTTAACCACGAGTTTATTGCCTACACATCATGCACGTCTTGTTATTATATAAAACATTTAACTTCCATTACACTGTCACCAGATGAACGTCACAAGATGTTACGGATTATTAACAATACAAAAGCCTTATCAAGACGTTCATATTTTTCCCATTTATTCATTTATGATGCATTAATCCACACATGTTTACTATGAGACATTTTGGTGTATATAGTATTCAAGACAAGAAATAATTTAATGATAAAAGTGACCAGAAGAGCTGTGGTGTCTCACTACCAAGCCAAGACGTCTTAAATTCCCAACCCCAAGATGATCTCTAGACATATTCTTATTTCATGCCTCTTTCCCAATGTATATTACCTTGTCACTGTGATAACGTATGTGTCTTCATCAGAATATGTGTTACCTGTGTGACTGAAGATACGGAGAATATGACGAAGAAAAAAGGGTAAATGATGATAGCAAATATGTTATAACTTCAACTCAGGCGCAGCTCAATGTAAACACCGGAGACTAACACCTCCTCGCCCTACTCTCTTAACGGGGTAACTAAACTATATTATCTTTGTTCCTTTTCTCGTAAAATATATCACTTTAGAGATATTTTAGAAATTATATCATATTTATTTTACATCTACTTCCTGGATATGTGTATGCAGATAGAAACTAATCTACATACTGTATGCTGGTAATGTTGGGATTATTATTCATTGTATTTATATTTAATTTATTTCTATTGGGGAAATTGAATGGATGTGTTATGATTATGTATCTATATCTTTATCTTTATTGGTCTAGTGGCAGTAAAGGAAGAAACTGCACAGAAAACCCAAGTCATATTGAGTCAAGTCACATGGAACAACCAACTCCTCACACAAGGCTCAAACTATAATCTTACCTGGGTCACAAAAGACGTACGTACATATGCAAATGAGTTTTATCACTTACCTAGTATCATTTTACTGCGTATTTCCCGTAAAAAATAGGATATTCCTAAGATAATAGGTGATGTTTAATATTTACCAAGAGGAACTCAACAACTGAAGTTTTTTTAGAACGAATAATATAGAGTTGTTAGATTGTGTATAATTTATAGGTATATTTTGTGTCTGTAATTTAGTAATAATATTGTATATAGGAAACATTGCTACTACATATAGCGTACATAGAAGAATAGTCTCTGATATTAGTCGAGATTTCATTTTTTACCTTAAATTAACCACACTAACCTTAGCTAATTCTAAACTAACCTGATCTAACCCCGCAGGCAGCGATAGGGAGTATAATCATCAATGAAATAAGCTCGGAGGTTAATCTTCATGTGACCCATCAATTATTTCATCTTTACCCTTCGTGGACTGGAGCGAGAAAAAAACCTACGGGAGGGCCAAGCATAACACACCTCCCCATGACCTTAACCTGACACTAGTTTTTCTACTGGCCTGAATCAATCCCTCGACCCCGACCTTTCATGCGAATCTTCACTGATATTTATTTTGACGAATTTTAACCAACAACAAAGGTACAAAAACACACATCGTAACTGTAATGTCAAAATATATTGATGAAACGAACAATGGCAATAGATTATGAATACATTAATAAATAAATTGTGAAAAAGATAAGTACCCCTAATTTTACCTTTAGGAAACAGCGTAGATTTTCGATAGATAGATATTCAGCAAATCGTCAATAGAAGCTTATATTGATGCAGTACTACGTGTAGAGACACTGCAGCTATACAATTAAATATGTTGAGTGATATTGAGTTCAGCATGTATACAGGTAATGCAGGTATACAGCTCATACAGGTAATGCGGAGCATACTGGCTCAGCATGTATACAGGTAATGCAGGTATACAGCTCAGCATGTATACAGGTAATGCAGGTATACAGCTCAGCGTATATACAGGTAATGCAGGTATACAGCTCAGCATGTAACAGGTAATGCAGGTATACAGCTCAGCATGTATACAGGTAATGCAGGTATACAGCTCCAGCAATCAGCATCACAGGTAATGCAGGTATACAGCTCAGCATGCATACTAATAATGCATCTATACAATGTTACAATACCGAGGCACTAACTGAACTTGTTCTCTCTTAGTTATTAGAGAAAAAATTAAGAATCCTAATAATTGAAGGATTGAACAAAGGGACTTATGATAGAGTTAATTTAACAAAACAGGAGAAACAAGTGTCGCTCCAGGCCAGAGAACGACAACCCTCAATATTTATTCAAGAGTCGCTCACTGGGATGACTAACCAACAACAAATAATGATTCACGTTTCGTAAGATGTTCAACTGTGTGTGTGTGAGACTCTTCATCCATGTTGGTTTCTTCTTTAGCGCCATGTTCGGGGTGAGTCACGTTGATTCTGGCCGTAGTTGACTCATCATGATGGTACAGTTCCAGTCTATCATATAAAAATCCAAATAATTAATGATAAATCTACCACGATACAGATTCTTTAATTACACTTGTCTCAGCCTAGCCCTCTAGTTCTTGGTGATTGGCCTCCTATCTACAAACAGGTTGAGCTGGATACCTGTGCAGTATATAATATCTCGCCTTTAACGGTTAAGAACCTGAGATCCGCTGTTAGATAACTGAAAAAAATATCATTGTTTCCGAACTTCCTTTCCGTTTTATATTAAAGCACTGTGGAAGATGTAAAATTGTTATGTTAGTAATAATAATAATAATAATAATAATAATAATAATAATAATAATAATAATAATAACAATAGTAATAATAATAATAATAATGATAATGATACTACAACTACTACTAATAATAATAATTCGTTTTTTGGTGAGGCTTTTGTGTTTTATTTATTATTTCTTAGTAACATATATATATATTCTTTAAGGAGTTGATGATAGTTAATGAAAGTGTTTTATGAGAATTACTTGTCAACTTTTCTTTCTAGAGGCATCTGTCTGTCTGTCCCTCTATGCCTGTCTACCTACTTTTCTTCCTATGCCTGCCTATGTTTACTATTATCTCTGTCTGTCTATCTATCTCTACCTGTCTGTCTGTCATCTCTATCTCTGTCTGCTTATCAATCTTTCTGTTTACCTGTCTATCTCTCTATTTGCCTATTTATCTCTGTCTATCAATCTGTCTGTCTCTCTATCTCTGTCTGCTTATATCTCTCTCTGTCTGCCTATCTATCTCTGTCTGCTTATCTATCTCTCTGTCTGTATTTATCTCTGTCTGCTTATCTCTATCTCTGTCTGTCTGTCTCTATCTGTTTATCTATTTCTCTGTCTGCTTATCTATCTCTCTGTCTGCCTATCTCTGTCTGTCTCTGTGCCGGCCTATCGACGTCTCTCTAGCTGCCTTCTGGCGGGTGTTATCTCTCAGTACATTGTGGCCTTGAGTATAATAATAATATTGCCATCAAAAGATCTCTTCCGTCTTCCGCCTCTGTGGTTAATACCAAAAGTGCAATTGTTTGACCTTTAAGTTAAGCTGCATGTTTCGACACAGTTAAATTACTACTACTATACTACTACTACTAATACTAATAATAATAATAATAATAATAATAATAATAATAATAATAATAATAATAATAACAACAACAGTAACAATAATAATAATAATAATAATATTCATATTAGTAATAATAGT